GAAAATTGAACCCAGAGTCTCATGCCTGCTCAGCACTTGCTCTACAACTGAGGTGCCTCCCTCCCCATTCTTTTTAACCAGTTTTCAGAATAATGATTTGGTATTCCAGCAGCTTCCGAATTTGGTTTATTGGGGGTCATTGTTTTGGGTTCGCTGTATTGTTTTTTGTTTTCATAGTATGGGGGATTGAACCAGGGCCTCGCACTGAGATACATTCCCAGTCTTTTAAATATTTTTAAAAATCTTTAGTCAAGAGTTTCGCCATCTTGCCCGGGCTGACCTAAAGCTTGTGATCCTCCTGCCTCCATCTCCTGAGTAGCTGGGGTTACAGGCATGCACCACCAGGCCCAGCAGTTGTTTTTGTGTATCAGTATCAAAACATGTATTTTAAAATTTTGGGGCTTTTTTAGTTCATTAAAATCATTATTCTTTTTGATGTAGTCCTTTTTTTTTTTTTTTTGGTCTGGAGATTGAACTCAGGACTTTAACACTGAGCTATTTCCCTAGCCCCTGTTTTATTTTTTATTTTGATATAGAGTCTTGCTAAGTTGCTAAATTGACCCTCTAGGTACAATCTTGTGATCCTTCCGCCTTAGGCTGCCAGAGTGCTAGAATTCAGGCACATGCCACTCTGCCTAGCTATTAAATATTTCTTTTTTTTGGTACTGGGGATCGAACTCAGGACCTCACACTTGCCAGGCAGGCACTGTGCTGCTGAGCTACATCCCTGGCAAGTATTTCATATTTTTAATGGTATTTCAAATCTTGTTCTTTTTAAATTTCAGTTTCTGATTGTTGCTAGTCTGTAACAATATAGTTGGTTTGGTGTATTGATTTATTTTTAATTTTAAAATCATGATACGTTTACTGTTATTTCCAGCAGCTTTTTTTGAAAATTTCCTTAGGACTTTGTACATATATGAGCATCTTGTCTGTGAATAAAGAAATTTTAATGTTTCCTTTCCAATCTATGCCTCTTATTTCTTTATCTTGTCTTACTAAGCTGGCCAGGAGCCCTGGTTGCTAGTGAGATAGTACAAATAGGCATCGTTGCATTGTCCCCATTTTAAGGGGGACAGTCTTTTATCAGTATGCTGCTAGCCACAGGTTTTTCTTAGTGACCTTTTTCAGTCTAGACCTGTGTTTTAAGAACCTTTATCATTGTTGGATGCTTGGTTTTGTTGTGTTATTTTCTGCAGCAGGTGGGATGACTTTTTTTTTTTTGTACCAGGGATAGAACTCAGGTCCTTGCACTTTCAAGACAGGCGGTGTAACCACTGAGCTAAATCCCCTGGCAGGGATGACTGTTTTTAAAACTATTAATATGGTGAACCCACTGGTTGAATTGAGACATTAAAGCACCCTGCATTCCTAAGATGAAGTATAGTTGGTCATGGCACAGTACTTTTTTTAATGTGTTGCTGGTTTTGTTTTACTATTTAGTTTGTGTTTATGAGGTATATAGATGTATAGTTTTCTTGTAATCTTTTTTTTTCCCCTCTTTCCGTCTTTGGTATCAGATAATGCTGTCATAAAGTGGATCGGGAAGCATCCACCCCTTTTCAGGTTTCTGGGAGAATGATGTAGATGTGGTATTGCTCTGCTGTCCTTCTTCTTGTGTTGTTTTCACTGGGAAACCTGATGTCATTCTTACTTTTTTTTTTTCTGGAGATGGGGTCTCGCTATGCAGCGCACCACCACACCCAGCTCAGATTTTCTGGTTTTTTGTTTTTTTTTTCTGGTACCGGGGATTGAACTCAGGACCTTTTGCTTGCCAGGCAGGCGCAGCACCACTGAGCTACATCTCCAGCTTTCTGTTTATTACTGATTTTGAAAAACTTTATAGTGTATCTAGGAGTTTCCCCTCATATTTGTGCTTGTGGTTCCCTGAGCTTCTTGAATTTTCTGATGTAATTTTGAAAAATTTCTCCATTATAGTCAGAAGATTTTCCGTCCCTCTCCCCCATTTAGAGAACCCCAGTCACACACATCGAGGGCTTGATGTTTCAGTTTGGATAGCTTCTGAGGGTACGCCTTCAGGGTTACAGATCTTTCCCGTCGTCTCTAAACTGCTCTTAATCCTGTCTGTGGTGGTTTTCATCTCAGACAATTTAAAAGAATGTGTGTAGGTTTGCCATGAGCCATCTTTTTCTTGCCTGTCCCCCACCCGCAGGATTGAACCCAAGGCTCACGTAAGCACCGTAAGCAGCCTCAGCACCGCCTACCCCAGCCCTCCGTGTCTTCGCCTCGCAGGTTCATGCTTCTCCTCCTTGCCTTCCTCAGCCTCATAGTCCTCATTGCCATTGTCCTCCTCCTTTGGTCTTCTCTTTCAACTCCTCCTTCTCTTCCTCACTCTTTCCCTCCTCCTCCTTATTGAACCCCACCGTGCTGCATCCACAGCTCTTTTTTTATTTTGAGACAGGGCCTTCTTATCTTATTCAGGCTGGGTTCAAACTTAGGATCCTCCTGCCTCAGCCTCTGGAGTGGCTGGAATTACAAATGTGTGCCACACATGTGGTCCCTCTATCTTGAACACATGGACTACAGCTATAATAATAAGTGGCTTTAATGTCTCTCTTTACTCATTATATCATCTTCCTTTGTCATTTCTAGTTGGTTTGGGGTGGGTTTTTTTTTTTTGGTACCAGGGATCAAACTCGGGACCTTACACTTTGGAGGCAGGCAGCAGCACCACTGAGCTAAATCCCTGGCCCTGGTTTGGGGTTTTTTGTCATCATCATGGTCACATTTTACTGTTTCTTTGCCTACCTGGTAATAAGCATGTGATTGGATGGTGGCAGTGTGAATTTTACTTGTTCTGTGCTGGATGGTGGATGGTATTCCTTTGTCCGTTCCTTTGCCCTTGCTCTGTGGTTCTTTCTGTGCTGTCACAGTCATTGTGATGGAGCCCGCACAGCCTAGCAGGGTCTCTGACCCTTGAGAGGAAATGTGTGCCTGCATGAGGGAATCATCGCAGATCTTGGGGTGCCCCCTCCCCACACCATCTCTCTCCTCTTTGGTGTGCACTATTCTGCCCTCCTTGTACTCTGGGTATGCTCACTAGTCCTCTGCCTGGGACCCCCTTCCACCACTCGGTCTCATCAGTTTGCTGAGCGCTGTGCGCACGAGCATGTGCTCTTGTGTGTGTGTGTGTGTGTGTGTGTCCCCTGCCCCAGGTGAGGTGGGCGCCTTCCCAGCTGCATGGGGCTTTGTCTCATCCCTTCCCTCAGGGGTCACTGTCTTGGGTGACCAGTTGTCTAATGTCTTCAAAGTGTTGTTTCATGTATTATTTTCTGTTTAAAAATTATTCTGAGGGTCAGGAGCATAAATCTGGCATCTGTGACTCTGTCCAGCCTGGGTGTGGAAGTCTTCAGTACTTAACATTCAGTGATATCGGGAATCATAGTACATTCAGTGTTTCAGTTGCCGAAGTGTCTGTTGCTTCTTCCCACTTGCGTTTCATGTCTTACTTTGCATTACTGGGAAGCTCCTTCTAATACCCCTCTTCGCTTTCTTTCTAGCTATGGGTAAAGTTGTCAAAGGATCAATCATTATAGAAATAGACATGCTTAAGTTACTGGCCCTGTAGCTGATTTCTTGTGGTAGCCACTTAGATTGACTTGTCACACCCTTGGGTGCTTTGAAGTGAAACTGTGCTTAGGTAGAAAAAGTATTAATGCTCAATTTGATCCCTTGTTAAGTTTACAGGTTTGTTTTGGGGTTTTTTTTGGTACCGGGGATTGAACTCAGGACCTTGCACTTGCCAGGCAGGCGGCACCACTGAAGCTAAATCCCCGGGCCCAAGTTGACAGTTTTTATATTGCATTTCACAATTTTGTTTTCTTCGAAATTTTTGGACTCTTGTCAGACTCTAAGAATCTTTAGTGCACTATTCAGCATGCTTCAATTTAAGCTGGAGGAGGTGGTGCACGCCTGGAATCTCAGCTACTTAGGAGGCTGAGGTGGGAAGATTGCAAATTCAAGGCCAGCCTGGGGAGCTAGTGAGACAGTGTCTCAAAAAGAGATGGGGATGTAGCTCAGTAGTAAGCACCCCAGGGTTTGATCCCCAGTACTACAAACAAAAACAAAGCAACAACAAAAGAAAAAGAAAAAAAAAAAGCTGTTTGGGATTTAGACTTTTTGATCCTCAATGAATTTCTTTTTCTTTTCTCTTCTTACTCTGATTTCTTTTCTTTTTTTTGGTCTTACTCTGATTTCACAGCTGGTGTAATATAAAATCAACAAGTTTTTTTTGTTTGTGGCACTGCAGTTAACCCAGGACCTTCACACTGAGCTACATCCCCATAGAGTAAGACCTTGTGTCCAAGAAACAAAACATAAAACAAAGCAAAAACTCTCTAATAAAGTGAAAACAGAGAAATGGCGGCTTTGAGTTGAGGTGTCAGAGTGACGTAAAGGAACCAAGTGAGAGATCTGACATAGTGCTTCACGGCTGAGAATCCTGTCTAGGTTTTGGTGGTGCTGACATCAGCCTCCGCCAGTTTGGCTAGGAGCAGAGGAGCTCGGTAGGAACAGCTTTCCCTTTAGTAGGTAATTTTTCTTGCTAAGTATGCCATAAGAACTTGAAGAATGATCTTAATTTCTCATTTTAAAATGACTCAATCCAGCCAGACTGTTTAACACTTCAGAGTCGGAACACATGGATTTGTCAATAAATTTAAATGTGACAGTAGTTGTCATTACTATAAGTTGTTGGAGTAATATATTATATTCACATTTTAAATGGATATTGATCTTCATTCAGTGACTAAATTGAAGCATCTCAATTCTTATGAAATTGCTGATTCTTTTCCACTTTGTAGTTATATAGCCAGACATAAATTCTAGCCAACATTCTCCGGATATTTCTTACCTTTGCTTCTTTATGCAGTACCCTTTAGGAAGTATGACTACTTTCTGGATACTGAAAATAGTAAAGATACACTGTCATTAAAGCAACAAAGTTAACATACCCGTCTCTGTTTAATTGTGTCTTGAAGGTACTTGAGGTTCATCCAGTTGCCCTTGACTGAGAGAAAGTTCTGCTGCAGCTGTCAGCAGTTGCTGCTACCAGATGAGTGGGGGGAGCACCGAGAGCATCAGGTGGTGGGGGATGTTTCTGTTACCCAGTTAAGAAGGCCCAGCCAACTCCTTTACCCCCTGGAAAACAAGAAGACAAATGCCCAGTATCTGTTTGCGGATCGGACCTGTCAGTTCTTGGTTGGCCTTCTCTCTGCCCTGGGCTTCAGAAGGGTACTGTGTGTTGGCACACCAAGGTATGTTCTGAGGATTTAAAAAAAGTTCTCCTGTTGCTGGTGTTTAAACTGTGGAAAAACTTTGTCAAGTAATTTTTTTACTGTGTGCAGTGTACAATGTGAAGCGCTGAGAACTCACAGGAAGTGGGAAGGCTGCTCCCCCTCTTTGGGATTTGCAGCTTGTATTCCATTGAAGAGATTTCTTTCTGCTGTATGAGAGGAGATCCTTCTTGATTTGAGTCTTAAATTGTCTGTGATATTAGACCTCTCTGCTTCAGATAAGTTCGTAGCTTTTAAAAATGTGTGCAAAACTGAAACCTGGGTGACACCTGCCAAATTCTTTTCAGGGTTTCGTTGAAATATCAGAGGTCACAGAATATTGGTGGGTTTTGTTGTTTATTTGCTTAATGTCTATGGCATTTTAATTTCTCATTAAATTTGCTTTTACTGATCGCTTTAGGTTGCATGAGCTGATCAGGTTGACAGCATCCGGTGACAAGAAGTCTAACCTTAAAAGCCTTTTATTGGATATTGATTTTCGGTAGGTTTACGAAATACAATAATTATTCTTCATTGTTCCTTGTTTTTTTTTTTTTTTCTCTTCTTAACTGTTTATAATCTGTCACAAATCTTTAACATTTAGAAGTAGAAATTGGTTATAAAGCACCTTTTTAATCACATAAACAGCAGGTAATCTTCTGTATTTCAAGTATGGAGGCAATTGATTTCCTCGATTTTTCTCTGTGCACTGTAGCTAGCTGTCTGTGACTTGTAACTTCAAGATGAATTAATTCTTTTTGAATTAAGTTTCAAAGATACACTGAGCTGCCTTGTGCTTAGTCAGATTTCTAGGACTTCGTTTCACCATCAGATCTTTAAAGCATGAAAAGGAACTTAAAATATGTTTTACCAGGTGATCTATATCTCTCACTGGACACAGCCTGAAGCGAAGGGAGTGGCTGAGTAGGGAGAAGACAGGTGTCAGAGCTTCACACAGATGAGCTGTGTGGGAGAGCATAAGAATCTGACTGTGAGCCAGGTGTGCTGGCTCTCCAGAGGCTGAGGCAGGAGGATTGCCAGGAGTTGAAGGCCTGCCTGAGCTACACAGTGAGACTGTCTCAAAAAGCCAAAAAAGAAAAAGAATCCAATGGCATTAGACACAGACCTCAGGTGTCTGACACATGGCACATCTTCCATCTACTGTCTATAATTCTGTGGCACTGAAATATTCTTCCTAGTTTCTGTAATTGTTTGAATTCCAGGAGTCCACTGTAACTTTATAAGACACTGTGTTCTGAGTTATCATTTATATGATTTTGAATGCATTATAGGAATCAGGCTTTGTGTTTCTTTGTACTTAGATCTGATAGCCTGTTGGGCTGATATTCCAGTATTTGCTGGAGAAAATCTGTGAAATTTTTAAAGTGTAAAATGTCATGTTAGGGCTGGGGATTTAGCTCAGTGGCACCATACCTGCCTCGCAAGTACAAGGTCCTGAGTTCGAGCCCTGGTACCAAAAAAATAAAAATAAATAAATAAATAAAATGTCATGTTAAGAAGCATAGCTTTTGTAATTTTTCTTTATGTTTCCAAATCAACTTTATTTCACCTAATATAAGCAACTGCATTTCCCAGGTTTTCACTCCTTACTAACAGGCCTGGTCTGCTAAGCGCTCACTCTCCCTTAACAGCACTCACAGTTAAGTGGCATCTGCTTGACACGAGTGATCCTTGGCAAGATGAAACTGGAGGTTTCTTATTAAAGAGGAGTCACAGGGGGTGATGTCACACACTTGTACTCCCCGCTACGTGGGAGGCTGAGGCAGGAGGATCACAGTTCGAAAGCCAGCCTGGGTGACTGAGACCCTGCTGCAAATTAAACAAACAAACAAATAAATAAATAAATAGGACTGGCTTCAGACTTCCCACATTCAGTCTCCAGTACTGAAGAAAAGAAACAGGGAAAGATCTCAGTTTTTTGTTTTTTTTAATTGAGATACAACTCGCATCACGTTCGCCGTGTTGAAGTGTGTATTTTGGATTGTGGTATATGTTCTCTATGTTGTGCAATCATTGCCGCTGTCTATCTCAGGAACATTTCCATCACACTGAAAAGAAAGCCCACCCCCACCTCCCCTGAGAACCGCTTTCCGCTTCTGTGGATTCGCCTGTCTGAACATTTCGTATCACTGGCATCGCTCAGTACTGACTTGTGGCTCCGGTTTTTTTCGGTTAGCTTAATGTTTTCAAAGCTCCTACAGCTAACAAGACTTCATTCCTTTTATGCTGGCTGTATAACCCATTATGTGGCTACATTAGTTTCTTTTTAAAATCCTATATTCCTTTCCTAAGGTATATTGTTAATATCAATCCATGATTTTAAAGGTAGAAGTTTAATTTTGGGATCCTATCACATCAGCATTAACTGTAGCTGGTAGTTTTGGAGTGCTCGTCATGTTAAGCCCTGTTCTAACTCATTCTTTATAATAGCTCTGTAAGATACATGCTGTTATCATCCTCATTTCCCAGTGAGAAAACAAATACAAAGTGAGAAAACAGATACAAAGAAGTGAAGTAACCAAATAACTTACAGTTTGTAAGCGGTGAAGCTGTGATTCAAATCCAGGCAGTCTGGCTCCAAAAATTATCTTCAGGAAGTAACTTTGCTTTTAAACTTGAACATAAATTTTTCTCATGTGGTCCATTTCTCTCTTTTCATTCTTCAATCTCTCCCTGCCTCACCTTATCCTCCCGCCTCATTCTGTGGAGGTTTTCCAATGAATCAGTGACTGGTTTCCAGCTGGATGTGGTGGCGTGTGCCTGTTCGAGGCCAGCCTGGGCAAGATAGTGAGTTCAAGCCCATAGAGACCCTGTCTAAAAAGACAAACAAAACAAGCACAACCCCCCAAAACAACAACAAAAAACTCAAAAAGCTGGTTTCTAGGTTCCTTACATGTTTAGGATAAGGAGCTCATTGCAGTCCCAGAGCTCCATTCACGTAAAGAATGTACTGGTTGGGCCAGGGATATAGCTCAGTGGTTCTGCCACCTGCCTCCGCCTGCCTCGCAAGCGCAAGGTCCCGAGTTCAATCCCCGGTACCAAAAAAAAATGTACTGGTCCCCGTTGCTGGAAGCCGGGGCACAGCAAGCTTTACTGCAGTCTCACCCCTGGCCTCCGCAGTGCTGTCAGGGCTCCATCTCTCTCTCTCACCCTGTCCCTCCCTGTGAGTTGGCTTTGTTCTGCAGGCAGTTTCCATCACACTGCCAGGGACTTTGGAGGCACAGCAGCGCGCTTACCTCGTCACAGTTGACCTGCCTGCGGACAAGGTGGGCAGAACCCAGGGAGTGCCCCGAGTACCTTGGCTGGGCCACACGCCCACCTCAGATACAGAGCTCGTGCCAGCCCCTGAGCACCTACATGGACTGGGTCTCCCCCAGAAAGAGGCGTCTCACTGAAGGAGTGGAGCTGCGAGGCCTAGAAAAAGAATCAGATGTGCCGACTGAATGAGTCCATGCACTGTGTGTGTGTCAGGAGCACTCCGTGCTACCCTTGGCATTTTTACTTCAGTGAAGTGTTACGGTGTTATTTTTCCCATAGCATAAGTTCTTTGAATTTATATTAAAAGTTATATAATGATTCTGATTTCATTAAAAAATGAGCTTTTCTCAAGATAGTTGTAGAATGATTTATGCGAAAGAAACTAGTAAAAGGTGAAAGATTTATACGATCTGAAGAGAAACCAGAGTATGTGAAAGAAACTAAAAAATCATATCATGTCCTTTCAAAGAGCTTGTTCAAATTGCATGGGTATCTGGTTTATCTTATTTTTTAAAGGAAGGTGATCTTTAATTCTGCCACCCAAAACCTAGATTTTTATTTTACATTGATATGTATTTCACACGTACAAGAGTGATTCTCAGTATATTCACAAAGTTGTAGAATCATCATCGGGGTCTTAACCCAGAACATTTTATCATTTTATTGCTTCAAAAGAAAATCTCTCAGTGAGTAGTTTTTTCCTGTTTCCCCTGATCTCAGCCTTTGGCAACCTCTAATCTGCTTTCTGTTTCACAGATTTGCCTATTCTAGATACTTCTTCTAAGTGGAATCATACAGTAGGTGGCCCTTGTGTAGGGCTGCTTTTACTTTGCATGATGTTTTCAAGGTTCCTCCGTGCTGTAACACATTTCAGCATGTCATTTCTTTTTGGGGGGGGGTACCAGGGATCGAACTCAGGTCCTTGCGCTTGCAGGGCAGGTGGTGGAACCACTGAGCTAAATCCCCTGCCCAGCATGTCATTTCTTTAATTTTTGAATTTTTTGCAGTACTGGAGATTAAACCCATGGCCTTGTCTGTGCTAGGCATGCAGTCTGTCACTAAGCTACATCCCCAGTCCTTTTTATTTTTTGAGACAAGGCCTTGCTGATTTGCCTAGGCTGGCCTTGAACTCGTGATCCTCCTGCCTCAGCCTTCTGAGTAGCTGAGATTACAGGCATATGCCACTGTGCCTCATTTCTTTTTTTAGGGGTGTGTAATGCATTGCATTTTCTTTATACCATGGTTTCAAGCATTGCTATGATTTGGATGTTGGATGTCTCCCAAAGGCCCATGTGGTAAAGGCTTGGTCCGTAGGGTGAAGCTACTGGGAGGTGGTGGCCCACTTTGGAGGCGGGGCTTATGGGCGGTCCTTCATGGGGCTGTGCCCTTGGGAGATGATTTTCACAGGAGGAGTGTCATAAAATCCTGAGTTTGGCCCCATCTTTGTCTGTCTGCTTCTGGTTCGAGATGTAATCACTTGCTTACTCTGCACACACAGCTACCTTTGCCACCTGTGCCATCTTGTGGCAGCCAAGAGGTGGCCACCGAACAGGCATGGTTCCATTTGGACTCAGCCTCCTAAACTGTGAGCTGACTAAGCCTTTTCTCCTAGTCCCTCAGCTATGTAATGATGTGAAAGTGACTAAAACATGCACTGATGGACATTTGGTTACTTCTTTTTGACTATTGTGAACAATGCTTCTGTGAGCATTTGTGTATAATTTTTATAATGCTTGTGTAAAATAGACATGTTTTCAGGTCGCTTGAGTATTGTGCTAGTTTCCTAGGACTGCTGGGACAGAATGCCAAGGCTGCGTGGCTTAGACACCAGTTTATGCTCTCATGGTTCTGGGTGCTGGAAGTCTCAGATGAAGGTGTCACAAGTTTGGTTTCGCTTTGAGCCTCTCTTCTTCGCTTGCTGTATCCATGTCTTCTCATGGGATCCTTTGTGCGCACACACACGTCCCTGGTGTCTTTGTATGTAAGACACCAGTCACATTGGAGTAGGGCCTAACACAGCTGCATTTTATTTTAATCATTTCTCTAAAGGCCCTGTCTCCAGTGGTCACATTCTGAAGTGCTGGGCGTTAGGACTTCAACATACAGGTCTTGAGGGGACCCAGTCTTCCCCACCACAGGTATAACTAGAAGTGGACTTGGGCCCATGGTGACTCTGTGCTTAGTTCTTGAGAAACTGCCAAGCTGTTTTCCAAGAGGGCCACACCACATTGTATTCCCACTGAGAATGGATGAGGGTTCCAGTTTTCTCCATGTCCTTGCCAACACTTACTGATTGAACTCAGGTCCTTGCGCTTATGCAGCAGGCGGCGAAACCACTGAGCTGAATCCCCGGCCCTGTTGTCTGTCTTTTTGAAATGATAGGTCACTGTGGTTTTATTTTGGATTCCCCTAATGGCTAATGATGTTGAGCATCTTTTCATGTGCTTTTGGGCTATTTCTTTACCTTTTTGGAGAAGTGTTTATTCAATATTTTGCCCATTTTTAAACTGGCTGTTTTATTCGGTTTTTTCTCGAGTTCTTTCTTTTCTCTTTCTTTCATTCGTTCGTTCGTTCGTTCTTTTCTTTCTTACAGCAGAGTCTTGTTGTGGCGTTCAGGCTGGCCTTGAACTTACTATGTAGCCCACGCTGGCCTCAAATTTGGTACAGTCCTCCTGCATCAGCCTCCCGAGTACTGGGATTACAGGCGTGCACCACCCTCCCTGGTTTCTATTGTTGAATTGAGAGAATTCTTAATATATTCTGGATGCTAGACCTTTATCAGATATATGATTTGCAAATATTTTCTCCCATTCTGTGGACTTTCTTTTCACTTTTAATGAAGTCCAGTTATTCTCTTTTCTTCTGGTTGTGTGTATTTTAGATGTCATATCTAAGAAATGATCGCCTAAGGTTATAAATATTTAATCGCTTTTTCCCTAAGAATTTTATAATTTGTGTTCTTACATTTAGGCCATTGATCTATTTTATGTTTTGGTAATGAATTTTAGGATCAGCTTATCAATTTCTACAAAAAAGCCAGCTGAGAGTCTTATAGGAATTGCATTGTATTTTTACATCATTTGGGGACTTTTGCCTCTTAGTGTTGTCTTCCAGTTCTTGAAGATGAGGTGTTTTTCCATTTGTTTAGGTCTTCTTTGCTTTCTGGGGATCTGGGAATGTATCCCCCATGCATAGTAAGGGACTACTGTGTATGAAGACTTATTTTCTTTTCACAACTGTGAACTTCTTCGTTTGTTGCAGACAATGGATGGTGTCCTCTTGAGGACATCGTACCTTAGTTTCTTTGATAACATAATCTCACCCATAATCTCACTGCGTCTGGGTTGGAGAAGCTCAGCGTTAGGTGTTGAGAAAGAGTGGCTGTGGAAACACATGGGTGGGCAGATTAAGCTTGGGTTGTTGCCCGTATTTACAGTAATGATGGTTGGTATGTATAGTTGGTTCTCTTTTCTCACAGAGACCACACCTAAGTCAGGGAAAAACTTCTTATGTGGCATACTGTGGTAGCCGTTGGTTTCTCATTGCCCTGTTAAAGGTCTCCGAGGCAGCAGAACTGTCTCAGCTCCAGAGTGCTGTGCAGATGTGCTATAAATACCCATTTCGGGGGGATGCAATTCGAAGTTAACATTTGCTAAGATGGATTTCTATAGGCTCTAATTTTAGCATGAAAGATGTGAAACTCTATTTGGCAAACTATTATCCAAATAAAGTTATATCAAAAAATGAATTTCTTAGGTTCATTTTATGAACTAATTTTATTCAGCTCTTGATTACATTTCCTGTGGATAGAGCATGTTTCACACTTGGTAACTGACTCTCATTTAAAGAGAATGAATGGCCAAATTAAATGAATGTCCTTTTGAGCAGTTTTCAAGTGCATGCTTTTCTGATTGGTTTTGTTTGCCTTATTCAGTGGAGAGAATAATTCTTTGTAGTCAGTTTCATTTTAAGAGGGCAATGTTGAGTGTTTTTCATAATTTAAAATATGAATAATTATGCTCCCTTGTTTGTATTTGATGGGAACTTAGTAATAAAATCTTGACTTTTTTCTCTCTGGCCCTACACTCTGCTGCCCAGTGTTTTGGACAGGTGTATTATGCTGAATTTTATGCAAGTCAAATTTTCTTTTTTAATTTTCAAAAGTGATTCTTATGTCTCTGTGAAACTATGAATAAAATGGAAAACTAATGGGATTACATTTTCCTTTGCCCTTTCTCGTAAAATAATGCAAGAGAGAAAAACAATGATAGTTGGCCCACAGCAGTACTGGTATTAATGTACTTTTAAAATTAGTTATTTGAAATTTAGTTAAATAGGAAGATATATTTTTTTGCTAATAGTAATTGACATTGTTCCACAGCTTTTGAAATGTTCATTAGGTTACAATATCTAGTTTAAATATTTTTCAGTTATCCAAGCATTTTGCTCATTTCTTCAGGGCAAATTAATGTTTTATGAAATCAACAGATGTGCTCACAGTATCTTAAATGATATTAAAAGATATTATAGTGAGAATGGTGAACAGCTGTTCTTCCATCTCGACAGAACAAGAGGAAATAGGTTTAGATTGTGTTTTGGTGAACATAAACAATTCTCTAATACTGGAAGCACCTTCACAAATCTTTCTGGCTGAAATTTATTAAAATAATGACACAATGTTTTAGTATGTGCTTTATTGCTGGCCTTGTATAAAGCACTTTACATGTATTATTTCATTTGTTCTATGAAGTCCTATGAGAAATTACGTTTCCCATTTTATAGATGAAGAAACTGAGGTTTAAAAAGGTTAAGTGGCTTATTAAGACTAGGCATTACCTAAGTGAGGGGCCCAGAGTTTAACATAGAGCCGGGGCTGTTTGTGTATTTACACCAGGATGATCCGCCAGTTACGGACGGGAAGGGGAGAACCGAGAGTGGCAGTATGAACAAAGAGCCACCATCATGATTTGGGTTCAAGAAACCATGTCGATAACAGTGCATCCTCGATTTTCAGCCTTTCTACTGGTTATAAATTCCAGGAACAATGATGTGGTTCATCTGTGAATTATTTATAATACAATAGCCAAAGTTCACAATGCTGTAGAGATAACAGAGGTTTCTGTATTGTGTGGAAAACTCAGAAATCAGCAAGAAAGACATTAAAACCCAGCTAGATAAATAGAGAAAACAGTCAGACAGTACTGCTGTAACTAAGGAATATAGAAAAGTTAATCTTAAAAATAATCAAATATATACAAATATAAACTGTAACGTGGTATGAGTTTTGCTTAGTTAATATCCAACACTGGTACTCGCATTCATTGCTGATGACATTTTAAAGTAGTATGTTAGAGGGCTGGGGATTTAGCTCAGTGGTTCTGCCGCCTGCCTCACAAGCGCAAGGACCCGAGTTTGATCCCCGGTACCAAAAAAAAACCCAAAAAACAAAAAACTTAAAGTAGTATGTTAGAAAAATAAAATAGTTCATTTAGTAGTTAAATAACCCTTGTTCACTAATTCAGTAAATATGAAACGCTCATACTTATTTTTCTCTGATATTAAGAAGCATATTTTATTAAACTAGTCTGCATTAAACAAGAAAAACTTTGCATTAAATACATCTTTTTTTTAATTAACCACAGAAGAAAATAATTAACAGCTGTTGAGCAGAAATGTTGATTTAGGATTTTCCTTAAAATTATTAACCATGAGAGACGTATTTTAATTGCCAACTCACTGCAAGGTTAAATTGCATAATAATCTATCAGTAACTCACTGTTTATCTTGGCCTTTGTTTGTAGGAACAGTTGTGCTTTATATATGAGTACTTGATAGCTTTGCCTCTGGTTTACCAAACTTGGAAAAATCATTTAAGCTCATTATTCACTTCTACAGATTCCTTGAAATTTTTGCAAAGTATTAATTTAAAAAAACTATAGAACGATGAAACGTATTAAAGTGTGATTGTATAGTTTAGTGTATGTTTGCTTATTCTCTGGCTGTGGCTGGTCAAGTGACTCCGTGATAAATTATTTTACAGGTATTCACAGTTTTATATGGAGGATAGCTTTTGCCACTATAACATGTTTAACCACCATTTCTTTGATGGAAAGGTAAGATCATGACTGACCGTTTCTTCTCTTATGGTAAAATAACAAATTCAAAAATACCTCTCTTGTTAATTTCTACCATTTTTAACTACAATTTTTGTAATTCATTTATTTTTCCTTTTATTGTTAGTGCCTGTTAATTTTACCAAATACTGAGTTTCAGGGCTGGGGATTTAGCTCAGTGGTTTCGCTGCCTGCCTTGCAAGCACAAGGATCCGAGTTTGATCCCCGGTACCAAAAAAAAAAACCCCAAAAAGCAAATACTGAGTTTCAGTGTGTGTAAAGTATTTTGATTGTATCTGTCCTCCGTTACTGTCCTTTACACTCTCCTTTGCCTACTAATAGTCTCTTCCTGTTGCCTTCCCTTGCCTACTAATAGTCTCCCTTCTTCTTCTGCGTCATCCTTTTTAGATTCCACATAATAGCAAGAACATGTGATATTTCTCCTTCTGAATCTGGCTTATTTCACTCAACATAATGATCTTTAGATCTATCTATTCTGCAAATGACAAAATTTTGTTCTTCATTATGGCTGAATAATAGTTTTGTATATATATATCACATTTTCTTTATTCATTGTTCTGCTGATGGGCACCTCGGCTAGTGAGGATGAACCTTTTAGAGACCTAGTGCCCAAACTGTAACTCAGAACCCACCTATTTATGGCAAAGTGCCAACACTGCAATTAAACCTGAATACTGAGGTTTTAGTTAGGAAAAAAAACCTCTTATCTGATGCCTAGCTGCTGGGGCAACCTGGCTTGCGTGCCCGTAGAGAGGGCTCTATATGTCCATTACAGCACACATGCCATAGGTTTGCCACCACTGACCTAAGCTGTTTCCATTTCTTGGCCATTGTGAATTGGACCGTAGTGAACATGGATATTCAGGTATCCCTATAGTATGCTGACTTTAATTCCTTTGAGTATATACCAAAGAGTGGTATAGCTGGATCAAATGAAAACTCTAATTTTTTGAGGAACTTCTATACTGATTTTCTTAGTGGCCATACTAATTTACATTCCCACCAGCAGTGTAGAAGCCCACCTCCCCTTCATCCTTACCAGCATTTATTCTTTTTTATACTTTTCTTTCTTTCCTTCTTTCTTTTTGTTTTTGAGACAGGGTCTTGCCGTGTACTTTTGGCTGGCCTTGAACTCAGTGTGGAGCCCAGGCTGGCCTCAAATTCACAGCAATCTTCCTGCCTCAGTCTCACATCCTGGGATCACAGGTGTGTCCCACCACACTCAGGTTTGTATTTTGTATTCTTGGTGATAGCCATTCTGACTGGGGTGAGATAGAATCTCAGTGTAGTTTTGATTTGCATTTACCTAATGGCTAAGGATGTTGAACATTTTTTCGTATACTTATTGGCCATATTTACTTCTTTTGAGAAACATCTGTTCAGTTCATTTGCCTGTTTATTTATTCATTGGGCTATTTGATATTTTGGTGTTTTTTGAGATAGCAGTCCTCTGTTGGAAGAGTGGCTAGCAAAGATTTTCTTCTGTTCTGTAGGCTGTCTTTTTGCTCTGATCCTTTTGTTTTTTCCTCTCGGTGCCGGGGATTGAACTCTGGACCTTGCGCTTGCCAGGCAGGTGCCGGCACCACTGAGCTAAATCCCCGGCCCTGTCTTTTCACTCTGTTAGTTGTTTCCCTTAAATTTGATGTGGTCTCATCGATTTATTCTTGCTCTCATTTCCTGTGCTGCTAGAATCCTGTTCAGAAAGTCTTTGCCAGTGCCTGTGGCTTCTGGAGTTTCCCCTGTGTTTTCTTTAAGCAGTTTCAAAGTTTCAGGTCTTATATCTAGGTCTTTGATACATTTCGAATCAATTTTTGTATAGGGGAAGAGATAAGGGTCTAGTTTCAGTCTTCTACAAGGTGGTATCCACTGTGCCCAGCACCATTTGTTAAAGAGGCTGTCTTCTCCAGCCTGTGTTTTTGGTGCCTTCGTCCAGAATCAGATGGCTGTAGCTCGTGTGGGTTCATTTCTATGTTCTGTATTTTGTTCCATTTGTCCACGAGTCTATTTTTGTACTGGTGCCGTGCTGTTTTTTGCCTGTGGCTGTGTGGTATAGTTTGAAATCAGGTATTGTGATGCTTCCAGCCTTGCTCTGTTTTGCTTAGGATTGATTTGGCTATTCTGAGTCTTTTATGTTTCCATAGGAATTTTAGGATTTTTTTCTAGTTTTGTGAAGAATGTCATTGGTGTTTTGATAGGGATTACATTGAATCTATAGATTGCTTTTGGTAATAGAGGCATTTTAGCAATATCAGTTCTGTCAATACATGAACATCAGAGGTCTTTCCATCTTCTGGTGTCTTCAGTTTCTTTCCTCAGTGTTCTGAAATTTTCAAGGGAGAAGTGTTTCACTTCTTCGGTTAGATTGATCCCTGTGTTTTATTTTTTTTTAAGCTATTGTGAATGGAAATTTTTTTTCTGATTTCTTTCTCACCTTGTCCATTACTGATGTATAGAAAAGCTATTGGTTTGTTTGGGGGTTTTTTGGTACCAGAGATCGAACTCGGGACCTTCCACTTGCAAGGCAGGCAGCGGCACCACTGAGCTAAATCCCAGGCCCGGATTTTTTAATGTTGATTTTATACCCTGCTGCTTTGCTAAATTTGTTTATTCATTCTAAAAATCTTCTAGTGGAGTCATTAGGGTCTTCTAAGTATAAGAGCATATCATCTGCAAACAAGAATAACAGCTTCTTGTTTTCATTACTTTTGTTCACTCACTGTTTATTGAGCAACTAGAAGTGTTACTGCTGGTCCTCTTTCTTTGCTATTTGGATAAAGACCCACATTCTTAGCAAGAGCCATGGGTTCTGTGTCATCCCACCCCTGCTACCACTCCTGTGTCTCTTCTTTCTGGTCCCCACTTAGTCATCTTTGCTCAAGGCACATAGCCTCTAGCCCACGGCAATTTCTGTGACTCTGTCAAACTCTCCTTTGTAGATTTACCACAGTAATACAATGCATGTATGGGAGAGAGGTGATGGTAAATCTGTACTTTCCTCTGTATCTTTTGTTTTGAACCTAGAACTGCTAAAAACAAAAACAAAAAAGGACGGTGGCTTGAAAACCTTTCTTTCAGTATGATTTTAATGGTGTCAATGAGGATAAACAACTTAGCAGTGCTGATACTTTTATTCCAGTGATGATGAACCTTTTAGAGAGGAGTGCCCAAACTACAACCTAAAACCCACTAATTTATCGCAAAGTGCCAACACTGTAATTGAACCTGAATACTGAGGTTTTTAGTTTGGAAAAAACAACTCATACATTAACGTCTTTTGTTTTATAAGAAACACAAATAACACGTGCCTTAGGTTCACCACCACTGTTTTTATTCTCAGTTACAGCTCTTTGTCAGTCCTGTTACAAAATGAAATCTATAAGCAGGTAATCACATCTGACAAGATGTTGATAAAAATGTTTGGAAATTATCAAGAATACAGCTTGATCCGTACTCATGGATATATGCATACAAATCAATTTTTTAAAATGTGTGAATCATGCTTAAGTATATATTGTGCTTGAGATATTAGCTAATGATAGAGTGAAACCCAAGCAAGCCTAAAAGAAAGTAAGCATTCAGGGAATGAAAACAAATACTAAGTCATTAGTTGGGATTGAAAAATGGGTTTTCTGATTGAGTAAATGTAATACTGCTTCCATTAGAATCAGTTTAGCATTGGGATACATGTTTCTCAGCCATAGTATCTATTAAGGCCAACAATTGAAACAATCAGAAGTTACACTTATCTGTATTTTTTTTTTTTTTTTGGTACTGGGGATCAAACTCAGGTCCTTCTGCTTGCGAGGCAGGTGGTGGAACCACTGAGCTAAATCCCTGGCCCAACTTAACTGTATTTTTATATGGCTGTAATCCCTGGTGACCGGATGAGTGTGAAGGAGAACAGGGAGCTGCAGCTCACTTGAGCGTGGAGGATGAGGGACTTCTCAGCCAGGACAGTGGCAGTGGGACAGAGAGGAAGAAAGCAGATTCTGTAGGCACTGCCAGAGCACACAGATGGAAGCAGAGCAGATGTGTGATACGTGTGCTGGGAGGGAATCCAGTGCTGGCCTGGGGTGGCCTGGGCTTGTTTTATTCTTCAGAACAGAGGGCAGGGGGGTTGCATTGAAGCCTGGGAATGTCGGGTTTGTGGCACTGGCGGGATAGTGATGTGGGTGTGTTGTGACCATGTGTGGCCGTAAGGCCAGGTCTGGGACAGGGTAACAAGGGGCCATGGGCTTTGGTGCTGTGCTGAGGAGCATGTTAGGGGTCTTTGTTGTTGTTGTGGTTGTGGTTGTTGTTTTTAATACCATATCTTTATTTTGCTTTTCATTATGAACAATAAAGACAAAATAAGGGTAAAATTATACTTAAATTCCTGTTGCCTAGCAATTTCATGTATTTTTTAAAAAGTAACATGTAATTAGCATTTCTAGGAATTCTGTATAGCTTACTATTGAAAGTTGATAGATGTGCTTTGTAAGTTTCTAAAATAATGATTGGAATAAGCTGCCAAGACTGAGCCCCACTCTATCTTTGCCCAAAGAAAATAGCGGTCTAGGGCCAGGGATTTAGCTCAGTGGTTCCGCCGCCTGCCTTGAAAGCAGAAGGACCCGAGTTCGATCCCTGGTACCAAAAAAAAAAAAAAAGAAAGAAAATAGCGGTCTAGCCAGACTTCCCTTCTGCTGTATTTCAGCAGCAGCCTCTGATAGCCCTGAAGCGTAAAGATTGATCTGCAGAAGATGTTGTAATGATTTTACTATCCATCTGGCCTTTTTCTGCCTACTCCCAGAGTTGAGTTTTCCAGTGGAAATTTACCATCTCCTGATCAGTCTGTGAGCATCTGCTGTCTGCCTGGCATCTGTGAGGCTGCGCAGGGTGCTTTGGGGAACGTGAGACTTTGCCTTTGCAGTCGCCATGCTTCGGGCCACTGAACTAAAAATCAGGAGTTCCCTACACAGGGTTTCCTCATAGCCACTCAGGCAGTCTAAGTCATAGCAAGTGTCATATGCCTAGCGGGAAAGGGAGTTAACGTGTATACAGAGGCTGTGTAAGAAGGATGCAAGGCACTCTCAGTGATAACTGAGATGTGAATACAAGGGACACATTGCTGCCCACATAGGTGGCATAAGAAAAGTGCTATTTCCCATGGGTGGCCACTCCAGGAGCTTGGCAGCTCACGACAGCCGTCACACTACTGCTTCTTACCTGGAAACATCTTTAATGTTTTCTAAACTAGGTTAGGAATTTAGGCATTGTTTACCTACTTTCTTTTTCTACTTTTAACTTTAAGGAATTTGAAGGGTTTCAAAGTCCTCACCTGTGCCTTAAGTCCTTGTTCACGTGAGCAGGGACAGGGAGTGCCAGGCAGCCCCTGAAAGCTGGTTCCCTTCTGGCAGCATCCTCTACCATGGGGACCAGCTCTCTCCTGGGAAAAGGGACTTCGAGGTCATAGTTTTCCCTCTCATCAGTTTCGTCTTCTAAAGTGATTTAGTGGAGAATAACATCTGTTTTATTATAAAGTACATATAGGTTTATTAAAGTAAAATGCAGTAAATGTTAAAGTCTTGTGCCTTTTATATAGTGTGTTACTTTTGTAGATGATATTTGAAAACTACTAAGTCGGTAGACTGGAGATAGGATGGTAGTATATCTCCCATTACCTTCGCCTGAAGCAAAAAAACTCTTAAGTGTCCTAGTTAATGTTAACTTTGCAATGTTAACTAACAACATTTATTTTAGCCTGTTGGAAAAAATGTGTTGCTAGCACAATTTCATGGATTGTATACACTTGGTCATTTGTGAATTGTCATTTATTTCCTTACTGTGCGTGTTCAAATGTATCTGTCACTTACCTGATACCCCAGAACAAATTAACAGGTAATTTCTGGCTGTTAAATTGAACTCATGGTGGTGGACAAGCCAGATAGGGAAAAACTGTGTCTTGTTCTTTGTTACCCTAGAGCTTAGCGCTGTCCCTGCTCCTGTTTGTTGAATTGAATGTTTTAGATAGTTTTCATGGGTAATGAGTTTCTCTCTTTTAGGTTACTAAATTTAGTTTTTTAATTTAACCATTTGAAATGTGTAGTCGTCTGATAGTGATGCTATTTGAATTTGCAATTTAAAAACCTGCTTATCAAGAAACCTGAAGATAAAATCCGACTCAGAGCCTTGGGTGTCAGTGAGGGACCCTGCTGGCTGGAGGAGGAGGAGGAGAGGTTCCCAGCTCCGAAAATCTGGTGGTTCTCCAACCCGGGCAGGTGCCTCTCTGTGCTAATTAGCAATGAATTTGTGTTTGTTCCAGCCTGCCCTTGAAGTATGCCGAGCATTTCTACAGGAGGATAAAGGTGAAGGAGTCATTATGGTGACAGACCCTCCTTTCGGTGGCTTGGTTGAACCCCTGGCTGTTACATTCAAGAAGTTAATCACTGTGTGGAAAGAAGGTCAAGTCCAAGGTGTGCGACTTTTTATTTAGGACAAAACAAACACATATCTATGTATCTGCCTCCTATCACTTTCGCCAAGGTCAGTGAATCAATAGATAGACTGATAGAATATTTCTTGTCTTAGAAAGAACAAACAAAAACAAGCTTACTTGATGAGGGGGCAAACTTCATTATTGTGGTACACTTTGTGTTATCCTGATCCTGTGTTTTTTTTGTTTTTGGTACCAGGAATCGAACTCGGGGACTTTGCACTTTCAAGGTGGGTGGTGGAACCACTGAGCTAAATCCCTGGCCCATGATTGTGTGTTTTTAAAAGGCTTGATGGGCCGGGGATTTAGCTCAGTGGTTCTGGCACCTGCCTTGAAAGCACAAGGTTCCAAGTTCGAGCCCTGGTACCAAAAGAAAATTCAAAAGGCTTGATGTTTTTAACAATGGGGTATAATAAAGAACAGTGGCAAACTGTTGTCATTTGTTCTGTGAATGTTTGCTGAGTGGCTTCATGCGCTGGGTACTACTGGTAGGAATAGATGAGTGAACCAAGCACACACATGCCTGCCCTGTGGGCCCTCTATCCCCTGTTCCCGAAGTCTTGCCCAGAACTCGGAGGGCACCCAACTGTGGGCCCAGAGCCCTGCACGCTGTGGAGCTTCAGACTTCCATAGCCCAGTAGTGTTAGAAGTGACATCTTCAGCCCAGGAGTGGGGTCATGGCTGGGGATAATTCGCAGTTTAAAGTGGCTTAGGATGTTAGAGTGTTTATGTAATTATCTAATTAGTCACTATGCCCATTTTTTAGATACAGTTTTTAGCTTGTGAGCTGATAAATTATAAGAGAATGTCAGGAGTCGCATGATCAAGCTTCTCTATTAATTTTGCTGTATAAGTAGTGTGATTTGGGAACAGAATGCAAACGAAATCTAAATTAAAACATGACTCATTAAGTCTTTCACTTGCTTGCTCTTCTTAAGACCAGTAATCAAAGTAGATAAATGCAATGTTTTGTTTTAGGTATAAAAGAGCATTTCTGCTGGGTGTGGGTAATCCCAGCACTTGGGAGGCTGAGGCAGGAGAATCTCTGAGAGTTCAAGGCCAGGGTCCTGAACTACATAATGAGACCCTGTCTCAAAAGAAAAATTGGAATGGCACTATAATACACATTCTCTTGTATGAGAGATAGATGTATTGGATGACTGAAATTTCTACCAATACCAGAAGTTTTTCAATTAAAGCTATCTTTTATTTTTTCTTTAATAGCGATTTCTTACTTTCTTTCCCTTTTTGTTTTCTCTTGTGATCCATTAGATGACAGTCACCAAGAAATGCCCATTTTCTGGATTTTCCCCTATTTTTTTGAGGCCAGAATTTGTCACTTTTTTCCAAGCTTCTGCATGCTGGATTACCAGGTATAGTAACTATTCTGTTTGCTGGTGTGTTTTGCAAACGGCTGTTCTGCTTAAAGTATGTGGCTAACATATTGACTTTAGTGAATTAAGATACTTTGAGCTGTGTTAAATGCTAAACTTACACCACACATAGCTTGGGCCTGTGGTCACTAAATGTCTGTTATCCCTCACAGAGCTCCTTAAAAAGGTAGATTTTGGAGCACCAGAACAAACCTACTAAATCAAAGTCAGAGGATAAAACCTGAAGAAAAAACATTTTCCTAAGCTTCCCCGGTGGTTCTGAAGCACAGCTAGGCTTTGCACTGGCTGACCTGCTCTTGTAGCAGGGGACTCTGCAGTGCCAGGACCCTCAGCTGAGTACTGTTCTTCCCTGCTCGGGGTTAAGGGAAGCCATTGCCGTCTCTGGTTGGTGGACTGGCGTGTGTCCTTACTGCGCCACTCAGCAGGTGCCAGGGATCCTAAGGAGGGGTGTGCCTGGGTTGTGGGGCGCCAGAGGAGGCTTGGATAGCGCTGTGAGTGCGAGTGCTGACCTGGCCGGAGTCAGTGTCCACGCCTTCAGTGAGAACAGAGGCCGGGGTCCACGCCAGCGCCCCTGCCCCTCAGGTACACGTTTCCTAGTCTACATCTCTGTGTGGTGACCAGGTGAGCACCGCTTCCTCTTCCTGTAGGGCCATTTTTCTGTTCTGTATAGTCAACTACCCTGACTATGGCCTTTCAGCCACCCCCAACTAGGACTGTACATGGCTTCGCTAGTTGGTCCAAACCATCACTTTGGTTCTAATCCACTGCTTTTTTTTTCTTTTTTTTTTTTTTAATATTTCTGGCAATTGAACCTAGGGCCTTCACATTGAGGTACATCCCCAGCCTTTTAAAAATCTTTTAAAATTTTGGGACAGGGTCTCGCTAAGTTGCCCAGTCAGGGCTCAAATTTGGCACCCTCCACCTAACCCAGCTTGGTCCTAATTGTTCTAATCTTATAAAGGTATATTGCGTGATGAAAATTGTTTCAAAGTCTTGAAAGAAATAGTGTTGCCAAAAATGAGGGGATTCTACCCTAAAGAGCGAGTACTATAATTTTTGTTGTTGTTTTGCTTTTTGGTACTGGGGATCGAACTCACAACCTAGCGCTTGCAAGTCAGGTGCAGTGCCACTGAGCTACATCCCCAGCCCGCAAGTATTATAATTTTTAAGTACAGTATTCACTTCTGTTCAGTTTTATTTATTTTTTAACTCTTCACTGCTGCTTTATTTTGATGTCCCCACAGTACAGAACCTCTCAAAGTCATTTCTGTTCAGTTTTAAAAGCACTTTCTATGTATTTATAATCATAGTACACAATTTTGAATTCTTTCTTCTCTAGGATTTTTATAAGTGTACATTTACTGATTGATTGATTGATTGAGACATGGTCTTGCTCTATAGTCCATGCTGGCCTGGAACTCCCCATGAAGCCCAGGGTGGCCTCGAACTTAGGGTCTCCTGCCTTAGCCTCCAGAGTACTGAGCTTATAGGTGTGCACCACTATACCTGGCTTTGTAAAGGTACCCATAGAATCCTATGCTTTCAATAATTTTAGATTATGTCACTACAGGGCTATTTTATTATTCCCTTCTTTTTGGACTATAGTTCACTTCTACCTTTTAGGTACTGTGAATAACACTGCCATAAACACCTCTTTTGCATATAATTTTCTCAGTTTACATAACTTCCTTAAAATAGATTTCCAAAACAGATTACCTTCTCAAATTTAATGGTCATTTTTATGGCTTTCAAGCCATACTAACGGGCTTCGTCCTAAAGGCATATAGCAGAAGCCATCTTCACTCCGACTTGAGCTCTGCTCCAGGCATAATCGTCAGTGTAGAGCCTCCCAGAGCTGTTTACCCTCCTTTTAGGGCATCCCATTTTTCTGGATTCTTGTCTGAGGGATGCTTCTAGAATTGATGTCAGTGATGCAGCGATAGCTGACCTCCTGTAAAGACATTAACTGAGTGAAAGGCTTCAGTTTCCGCAGCACCTGCTGCCTTTGGTGGTGACTAGTGCAGTGCATGGCACATAGTAAGTGCTCTGTGTGTGTCAAGTGCATAATTAAATGGAAAAGAGCATGACCTCTGGAGTGGAAAGAATTTGCGTTTTAGTCCTGTTCCATTCCTTATTTAACCTCTATAAAGCGCCTCTCACATGTTAAGTGAGTATGAGTCTAACAATAACATCTGTCTTACGAGATGGTGCACTTAATCTATCCAAGTATACAGCAAAGGGCATTGTCCCAAATTCAGAGTCTCAAAGTGAGGACAAAACTTCCTGGGGCCCCTTCTTGGTATAACATCTGAGACCTTGAAATTAGATAACACAGGGTCCCTCAGAAGACTGCTGCGTCCATGTCTAGGGAAGCATTTTTCCTGTGTACCAGGATGTGAAAGGGTGAGGGGCAGAGAAGGCAAATCCATCCTGCAGTCCAGGGAAGAGGCTAACGCCTGGCAGCCTCCTGCAGTCACGCGTTGGGGCAGGCTGTGGAGATGCGGGAGGAACGGTTCTGAGCGATAGCTGCAAGCCCCAGCCCGTGGGAAGTAATTACCCAATTCGGTGTATCAGTGAAAAGCGTCCTGGTTAGATTGCAGGTACCTGACAGTGAAAGGCAGCCTTTGAAAAGACAAATGGGAATAAAATATGTGAAATAAAACAAGCGTCGTTTTCATGACTCCTCTTAAAGGTGCGAACAGTTCTGCCCACTAACTACTCACCAATCTCACCACAGCTCCTGAATGCTTACTAACCATATTTGCTGTCCCTCCCCTTGATAATTTTTGTCTTTTTTATTTTTTGAAAATGTCTTTGGACCTGTTGTTATTATTATTCCTTTCTGAACCTTGCTTTCTTCCCTTACCTTCTTTGGTTACTTTAACTTCATTTTCTACAGTTTTCTTTGATGGTAGCCTTCATCAAATGAAAAATTTGAAAGTCTCCTCTCCTCCTTCACAGGTCTTTTTTCATAGTCCTTGATTAGGCTTTTTTCCCCGACATCAAGCCCCTCATCCACAATGCATTGAAAAAACAAAAACCCAAAGTCATGGAATCTCTTTTTTGAAAATACTTTTCAAGTAAAAAGGAGGCAGAAATGCTGCAGAATATTTTATATTCATAAAATATAAATTATGTAGACTCTTCGGTGATAAACCGCTTGATAAGTACAGAATAAATAGTTATCAGAGGCCTAAGAAACCACGAATTTTATGAAGGCCAGATTAGAATGGAAAGATGTGACAATGAGAAAAAATTCTGATTTAGAGTCAGAAGTTGTTTGAGTCCTATCACTGCCTTTTAGCAGCTGTTTAATCCTGGGGAGGTTACTTGGTCTTCCCAGATTCTATTTCCCTACCTATAAAAATAAAAAGACTAAGCCAGAAGGGGATGGTGGTGGCAGACGAATTTCCCTCTTAGTGCTATGCCAGAGAAATTGGTGGTGACTTTAGTGAATTCGCTGAGACTCCCAGGGGCAAATGGCAGAGGAACATGAGCAGTGTCCTGTAGTTACCACATCTGAATGCCATGTTCTCACCTCTCCCTTAAACACACCGGCCTCTCTTGCTTAACATGGGCCGCTTGTCTAGAATGTTAAAAGTAGAGGTCTTTGCTTTCGTGTGAGCTATCCTGTTTAAAAATCAGCCTGTATAGGGAACTTGAAATTTCAAGGTTAGTTCCATGGTCAGAAAAGAAAATATTTGGACAGGAATTTATGGGAAAACATTGTACAGTACATTAAAGATGGCAACCAAAATTCTGGAAACTTAATCTAGAGGGTTTTGAGGAAGATAAGAGTCTAAATAAGAAGTAACTGGGAATTTTAAATAAAAGGTTACCTAGGTTATGTGGGATTAGATGGTTGGTGGAGCACTTGGGCCCTTTGTGTATACTGAAATCCAACAGAACACAGTAGGAGCTGTGGGGTGCTTGTGCTCAGTCTTGTTTAATCTTTGCACCCTGGCATGATGTCTGGAACATAGTAGGTACAAAACAAATTTGCTGACTTGGATGTCTTGGTTCTCCCAATAACTGGTTTCAGTCTCATGCTACAGAAAACATTTGCGTATAGATCAAATTAAAAGTTAGGAATTGCAGAGATTTTGTGCTTTCCCTCATTTCTATACAGTACTTCATCACATTAATCAGTTCCATGGGAGAAATCTTCTATCTGAAAATGCCTCTCATCATCATTGTGAGTGAAATGTCAGGGATAATGATGGGAAAATGGTGTATCAGCTCTACCACTGGTGATACGCAATTTGCAAAATTGTGTTTGCTTTACAGCACTTCCACAGGAGGTTTATTTGTGTGGATGAAGCTATGAAATATGGATGTATGTTAGAGGTACATTAATTTACTCTAGCAGCATGCATTTTACATACCATATGTTTATAGTTAATTAGCACAACAAACCCGCATTTAAAAATAATAATAATCTCAATTAGGTTATGCAAAATCAAGCAATCAGCCATCTTCCTGACATATAACATTCTTGGGCTCCTTGGGTAACCATAAAGAAATTGTTCTCCTCCCCTCTCCCATCTGCTATCTATTATATAGCATAGCATATTCCATGTATTAGAAATCTTCCTACAATATTATTTTCTGGCATATGAAAATCTTTATAAGAATCTCATGGGAAGAATTTTTTTCCTTACGATACTCATAAATTTGTATTCAAAATCTTTGTTGAATTTAATAAGGGTCCATGTTATTTGAGTACACAAAGGAACACATTAGCAAAAAAATTAAGAATTTAAATCATTTTAAAAGAAAGCTACTTAAGATACTATTTTAAGGTGATTTTGAAGTAAAATCTATTTTTGTCTATTAGTCTCTCATAGGTATTCATAGAATTTTGAAAGTTGGAAAGAAACAGGTAACCTGGGCTAACTTCCCAGTGTAATAATCCTCTCCACTAAATTCATGACAGGCCGTCATCTAGCTTCACTTGAATGCTTTCAGTGAGCAGAGTCCTACAGCCTTACAAGGCAACTCAATTTATTTAATAGCTCTAATCGTTAGAAAATTTTCTCATATTGAGGTAAAATATGCTCCCCATTAACTTCTAACCATTGGTCCTAGTCTTGTTCTTTGAGGCAATAAAGGATACATCTAATTTCTATTCCATATGATACCCATTCAGTTATAAAATAGCTGTCAGTTCCTCTCAGTCCTCTCTTTTCTGAATAAACATTCCCAATTTGTTCAACTGGAAATCCTATTCATTCCCATTATTTTCAGTAGAAATCAGCTGGTTTTATCAGTGTCTCTTAGAATGTGACGGAACACCGGGCACAAATGTGGCCTCGCAGGAGCCCTCCTGGTTGGGACAGTGCACGTGCATAGAGGCTGCCTGACAGCCAGGCTGTGCGCTCACTGCGAAGCCTGAAACCCCTGTGTCTCCGCCCACTGTCCCCGGCCCTTCTCAACCAGTGCCTAGGTCTCCACAGCTGAAGCTTATGACTCAGCCTTCCTCAGCATGGTCTTTTGTAGATCTGGTGCGCATTTGCATTAAACCCAGTGGGGCCTTGGAGAGACCGAGGAATCCACCATTAAAAGGCCTCTCTCCCTTGTCACCAGGTTCTTACATTTTTGTGATTTCGCTTATTAGCCAGCTTGCAGGCCAGTTGTGTTGTAAGCTCCTAGGTGTATTCTTGCTCAGCATCGAAGTATGTCATTCCACTTTATTGGAAAGTTGAGATCTACCTGTATTAAGCCCACACAAAGCTCCTGGTATTTTTGTGGATGATCTAAAGCAGTGGTTCTCAAACTTGAGTGTTCCAGGAGTTCCAGGAGGCCTTGTTAACATACTGCCACTGCCGGGCCCCACTCCCAGGAGTTTCTGATTAATGAGGCCCTCAGTGGTGGCAGAAGGCGAATTTGCATTTCTGACAGATCTCAGGTGAGGCTGGTGTTGCCAGCCCACTTGGAGAGTTACTGATCTAAGGATGGAGTTAGTGACCAGGAGGGTTCCAAGCAGAGCCAGAGCCAAACTAAGAATGTGTGTGGATAACCGGGGAGGAGGAGGAGAGCCAAGATGCTAATAGAGATCACGCTGTTAGCTCCAGTGTACTTTCAAGATACTCTGCTGAAACTGCAAAGTAGGGATCTTGAAGGTTGGAATAGTCATTGTGGGAGAGCAGCTGCAGGGGCGTGTTCCCCTCATTTCCATCTTCCTACCATACCCTGGGCCCTGGATTCGGTCAGTGACTTACATACATCATCCCATGTAGCCTCACAGGAGCTTAAGGTAGGAGCCAGCAGCCTCTTCTTACAGGTGCAAAACATGTAAACTTGCCTAAGGTCACATAACCAGTGAGTGGCAGCACCACAAGTCTGGCCCCAACCCTGTGCTCCATCTGAATGAGAGAGGACAGATAGTGGACAGCCAGTCTGAGGCTGCACTTAGGTCGGGTGAGCTGAAGGCTGGCACCCAGCACACGTCACACACACAAGAATATCTCAACAAAGCTGACACACACTGGCAGGGGCATATTTTTAAGGCAGATAACGCCTATATTCTTTTTCTTCTTTTCTTTTTTTTTTTGGTGGTACTGGGGATTGAACCTGGGGGTACTCTACCCCTTTTTTATTTTATATTTTGAGAGACTCTCATTAAGTTGCTTACGCTGGCCTCACACTGGTGATCTTATCTCAGCCTCCTGAGTAGCTAGGATTACAGGTACGCAATAACTATGTAATAGAGTATCTTATAAAGTCTGTTGTATGGGAGGAAAGGCTAGAGTCCTTCCCTTAATAGCAGATTACCCATATTTATCATAACAACTTGTACCTTATAATGAAATTTCACTGCCATAGAGGCCTCTCTAAGGCTGTTAATAAATTCTTGCTTTTGAGAGTTTATTATTAAATACCTTGATTTAACCTGTATCTTGGCATCAGCTTCTTTAATGTATTAGTCACTTTTCATTGCTGGGATAGAATCCCTGACATGAACAACTTAAAAGAGAGGAGAGGTTTATTTTGGCTCACGGTTCCAGAAGTTTCAGTTCATGGTCTGCTGGCTCTAAGGCAGAAACATCTTGGAAGGGCAGGCAGAGGAAAGCTGCTCATCACCTCAGGGCAGCCAGGAGGCAAGTGAGCTAGGAAGAACCAGAGAGGAAGGGGCCGGGGAACAGATAGAGTCCCGAAGGTTACCCCCCCACACACACACACCCAGATTTGTGCACTAAAGATGTCCTAGGCGGCTCTCAAGTTTCTCAAAATTAACCATTATGTTTATTTATTGGTTAAAGACACTTAGTGAATGGCTTATTTGAGTAAATTTTCCTTTTACTTTTTTTTACCTTTCTAGGTAGATTATGATAATCATGCACTTTATAAACATGGAAAGACCGGTCGAAAACAGTCTCCTGTACGTATATTTACGAACATTCCACCCAACAAAATAACCCTTCCTACTGAAGAAGGGTACAGGTAAGATCACAGTAGGACTTAGAAATTCACAAGTCACCCAATATACAGTTACATATACCTAGCTGTAAAGTGCTTTCAGTATGAATCATTTAGTTCTATTATTTTTTAATTTGGTCCATAATTTCATATTGAGTTGAATTCTGATTATATCTGGCTTCTGGAACAAATGTCTCGTTAACTTATCTGCTCTGTTTTGTTATCTTTCCTCTTTAGATTTTGCCCTCCGTGTCAACGGTATGTTTCTCTTGAAAATCAACACTGTGAACACTGTAATTCTTGCACATCCAAGGTAGAGCTTTCCTGTCTAGTTCATTTTAAAATATATTAGTTATATTTTAGTTTACTAGTCTTATTACTTTTTAAAACATTCTTACTACTTACTACAGTTTGTGTTAATATGTATTACCATCACTAATTATAATTTAATATAATAGTACTTTATTTCTAATTATAGAGTACAGCAGGCTTGTTAAAGTACTTGCTTCCTTCATCATCATCAACAATTCCTTGAATTCATTTTCATGTGGTGCTGTATGACTGCTAAAATTAGGAGTGTTTCAAATAAGGCACTAAATGAGTGCTAAATTTATATCCCTATTGAGGGCAAAATTATGGTGTTTTAAATAAGGCATTGAACTATTAGATACCATCACTGTTCTAATGAAGCAAAAATTAATAACATGTACCATTTGGTTTTTGTGTGCCAGGCCCTTTCCTAAGAGTTGTACGTAGATTAACTCACTTAATCCTCACAGTAGCCTTGTGAAGCAGATCCAGTTATTTCCTGCTTTTTCACAGATGAGGAAGGACTCTATGGGTCAAATCTTTTTATTTATCTAGCTATTACTTTTTTCCTAATAAACTTTACTTGAAAAAACAGTTTTAGGTTCGCAGCAAACTTGAGGGAAGGTGTGGATTCCCTGCCTCCCCCTGCCTAGGCTCCCTTGTGTGAACACTGTGCTGGACTCCGCAGTCATTACAGTCGGTGACCTCCATGGACACATTGCCAACACTCAGAGTCCTTGGTTTCCATTCAGGTTCTCGCTTGGTGTTGCACATTCTGTACAAGGACTTGTACCCACTATAGTGCCATAGCATTTTTTGTGTTCCCTACAACTCTGCTCTGCCTGTTCATCCTTCCTGCCTCTCTACCCTCTAGCAAACACTGAACTTTTTCTTGTCTGTGTAGCTTTGCCTTTTGCAGAAAGTCATGTGATTGGAATACCCAAAGTGTATGAGTCTGTTTCGGGTTAGCTTCTTTCAGTTAGGCGTTTAAAGTTTTTTTTGGCTTCATAGCTCATTCTTGTTAAGATATTCATTGTCTGGATGGATCACAGTTTGTTTAGCCATTCACCTACTGGAAGATATCTTGTTTGCTTCCAAGCTTGGGCATTTACAAATAAAACTCCTATTCATTTTTGAGGAAGGTAGGATGACCCTTAAGTTGCTTTGTCTATTTTAAAGAAATCCAGTCAGAGAGCACATGTTGAGTTTGGCTTTTAGGCACAATTTATTCTCCAAAGAAAAGGCCATGTTTATGTAAATTTTTTTTTTTTTTCTTTTTTGGCTTCGGGGATCAAACTTGGGTCCTTGCGCTTGCGAGGCAGGCGGCGGAACTGCTGAGCTAAATCCCTGGCCCTATGTAAATATTAAAAAGTACACTTTTCATGATTATATAGTTTTGATTTTTTTTTTTTTCTTTTTTGGTACCAGGGATCAAACTCGGGTCCTTGGCTTGTGCACCGCAGCAGGCAGCAAAACCACTGAGCTAAATCCCCGGCCCCGATTATATAGTTTTATTACTGTTTATACTTGTTTTTAACTCTAGTAACACTTCTGATTATATGTTTTCATTTTGTTTGGGAATAATCTGTAGTGTGCCCGAATGTATAATATGTAAAATTGAGGAAAACAAAACTTTATTATTTGGAGATGTATACATAGATGGGAAAGATAAATAAGCAGGGAAAGAGTGTCACAAAAACCAGAGTAGTTGTCACATGGGGGGAAGGAGGACGCTGATGGGAAGGAGACTCTCTAGGGCCAGTGGTGTCTGCTTGTTCACCTGGTGACTTTGTCAGTGTGTCTTCACAATTTTCAGTACTAGAACCTGTGTTCTTTGTGCTCTTCTAGATGTTTTATTTCAGTTTTTAAAGCACTCCAATAGTAACTATAATCTCTCTTCCTAAATTACATAAAGCTCTCAAACACGAATTCATGAAGGATTGTGTAGAATAGACACATAAAATTCAGAATCATTAATTCCCTTGAAATTTTCATTTAAGTCCTTTGTGCGCATTGTGTTCCTTGAACTGGAGTGGATTTTCAAGATCATTTAGATAATTCTCCTCATTTTACAGTACGGCAATTGAGGCCCATCAAGGAGGCATTTGAGTTGAGTGGAGAAAGGCATAAATTAAAATCAAAGTATTTAATTGTGACGCTCAGGAAAGGGAGAGATAAGAATGAATAATTTACATAGATTTTAATAAGACATTTTAATTTTTAATTGTAGAACTTGATTTTTAATAACAAATTAAACATAATTTAAAATTATTTTTGTAGGATGGCAGGAAATGGAAGCACTGCTTTCTATGCAAAAAGTGTGTAAAGCCTTGTAAGTATTGAGGGTTGCTTAAGATCCTCCGAAAACATGTTTGAAGTTTTTCCTTCATCTAAATAGGATTTTTACTTATTTGCATTTATAAAGGAAAAATAATTAATATATAGCCTTGCATTAACTTGTTTGCTTTCTAATTTTCACACTCACCAGCATGTACATTCTGTCTTGCATAAGGAGAAATACTGCTAACCAATTTCAGTGTGACTTCTGGCTTGACTATTTTAATAGGACGCTGTGCCACCCAGCCATCCTCTATTGTGCCAGTGGTGGTCAGCTCGTGATTTCTTGGGGAAGGGCTGAATTTATTGCCTTGTAACTGAATGAAGTTAGTTGCTTTACTTGGGATTCCAGATTCTTCACTTTGGTCTCTGTAGCAAAATTAAAACTAGCTATATAAGCCAGCCACCATGTTTGAAGTAAAAATGCATGCATCCTACCTCAAAAGTTAATAGAATGAAAAATGGTATTAAATGATCTTCTAAAGCTTAATTTTTATTTTACAGCCTGGATCCACTGTAGCATTTGCAATCACTGTGCTGTTGCAGGTCATTCTTGTGAGGGTCCCAAAGATGGCTGCTTTATCTGTGGTGAATTGGGTCACAAACGCAGTTCCTGCCCTAACATCAGCACCTCAAAGGAAGCCAACAAGTGAGTTGAATTCTTTTATTTGCTATTAAAAAAAAAAACCTTTCCCTGTATCCCTTGTATGGATCAGTGTACAAAAGTACACAGCACTAAATGAATTGTCATTTTCGCTATTATTTATCATTCACATAGATGAGAAAGGGATTATCTGCAAATTACCAGACAGGCAGATTTCATGTTATAAGGAAATTGAGATTAGGGTAAAAATATCGAGCCATCATATGATTTGTGATTTAAAAAAAAAACAGGTTAATATTACAGTCTAGAAACTTTTTATAATTATAATTCTTTTTTATTTGTTTATTTGGCCAGTGGAAATTTTTTTTTCATTAAAGTCCAGCCACTTGAATTCTGCCTACTGTTAAACTGTCACTTTCATAAATTAATTATTTACACTAAGTAATTTAAGGTAGAAGTGGAATTGTAAAAATTAAATGAAAAGTCTTATAAATATTTTTCCTTATAAATCTTCAAAAATAAAGAGTACAACCTCATAGACTTACTGGTCTAGGATTGTTTTGTCATTTACAGTGTCATTTTGAGGAGGAAATAGGAGTCAGTAACATGCTCAGCCTTTCTTTAGTTCTGTGAATTTGTGATTACATGGAAGCTGAAGTTGCATTTGGTAGTACTGTATATTGTAGCCTCTTCATGGCTTATGAAATAGCTGGTCTATTTGGTAGTGCCATATTGTTTTCTTTAGAGGAAATCATCTAGAATCTTTCAGTGTTAGGTTTTATCAGATTTTGTTTGCTTGCTTTTTGAGATAGGGTCCTACTATATAGGGCATGATGGTCCTGAACTTGAGATCTGTTCTGCCACAGCCTCACAAGTGCTGGCGTTACAGGCATGGGTCACCACATCTGGCTCAGAGTTTATCAGTTTTAATTCCAATAGAAAAATCTCTTAAGATGTGGTATATTTGGTAATGTAAATAGTATTACTTTCTCCTTTCCAGAGACTCCTAAATTCTTGTTAACAGTTAGTATTCTGAAAAACATTTTTATGCCAGGAATTTAGCTCAGTGGTGCCACCACCTGCCTCGAAAGTGCAAGGTCCCAAGTTCAGTCCCTGGTACCAAAAACAAAAACAATAACAAAAATTTTTTTATAATGAAATTAATACGGCTAAATTATTTTTTCTTTATACTAGTAAAAAATATTTTAATAGCCTTTTAGCATACATAGATGAAAGATCTTTCAATCTCATGCTTTTTAAGCTGTCTTATATTTTTGTTTTTCCCTTCGTTGTAATTTTCCTTTAGGTGCAGACTGGAATGATGCTGGCTCCCTCTTGTGGTGAAAGCTCATTTTGCCAGTTACATAAATCCTACCCTTTAGAGGACAAACACTAGCTCAATTTAATTGTAAGGCAAAATAAAACAGTTAATGATTTATACTCAATCAATTCATCAGAGTTCAAAGACTTTCTCTCTGGAAAGTTTTGGTTATTCACATTACAAATGAATATCTTTAAATATTTTTCCTTCTGTTTTTGTTGACGGTATCCCCACGTGCAATTTGATTCACTTTTAGTCCTGTTTATGAGTGGATGAACCGAAATGAAATTTAAATTTCGTATACAAGGATACATGGCTTCATTGACTTTCCTATTAGAGATTATACTTTACTTCATTAAATTTGCTAAGTCATTACTTACCAGGAAATTATCCTACTTTTAAAAAAGGCCGGGAAAGAAAGAGGTCTACATAAGCACAACATAGTGTAAAGATAACAGTTTTATTTTACAGGGTATCCCAGGCCACAATGCAAAATCTCAGTAGAGAAAAGTATGAAGTTGGCAAATAAAGTTCGGCATGATGATTATGTGAAGCTACTAGTAATAACCAGTATTTATTGAATGACTGCTATATGGTTGCATTTTGCATACCCAAAGAGCTAACAGTGGAGTACATAGTATTGGAGTGATGAAAAGCCTAGGTTCTTGAGTCAAGCTGGCCTGGCTACTTTCTCCCTGGATGATCATAGTACTATAGAGCCTTACTTTCTTTACCAAAAAAAAAGCTGGTGGAGGGCATTTGTGCTCAGCATCCTACCTCCATGAAGTCATTTCTGTGTTCCCAAGGCCTAACACTGTGCCGAGTGAACCGGAAGTGAGGCCTATGTCTGACCCAGGAAAGGGTCACATGCTGTTGAGGAGGCTCTGCTCCCAGCTCTGTCCTGGGAAGAACAGCAAGGGCAAGCTTTTTGCTTATGAGAGGTGACCCTGGGGAGCCAGGGAGGTGCCCATGTGAGCTGGCTCTGTCCATGCCAGACTGCCCTTCACGTCGCAGTCAGTGATACAGAGTGTCACTCTGCCTGCTTGGAGCCCGTGACTGAGCAGAGCAGTGTCCTTCCCATCGTAGGCGCACCTGTAACTTAGTTCAGAGAACACTCGAAAAGGAGATCTGTTTTGTTTGGTGTGGGTGTAGTGATTTTAGAGGGCAAAGGCTTTCAGCCTGTTCATTTTGAAGCTAGGCTTCAAGAAAATAGGGACCAGAAAAGATGGACATCCTGTGTGGCACCTGTCAGGACCCTTAGATCTGCAGGGGAAAGGGGAAATTAGCTGCAGGGCTTATAAACTGGGTCCTTTTAAGTGTGGTCAGGTTTTTCTGTTGTATTGTTTCATTTTACAACCTCTGCCAACTCTCACCTGTATTATTTCTGTCTTAAACAAGATGTGATTTGGGCACTGGAGATTGATGTGCCTAATTGAGCAGAGTAGGTCCAGCACCCCTTCCCCCCAAAAACCAAAGCCCAAAACGCATGTGTGTGGCTGTTTGCCTCTGTGGTGTGTTTATCCCAAATACTTTGTTCTCAATCAACCTTCTTTTATAGAAATGTCTTTTCTCAAACATTTTGCTTAGGCTTCTATTTCCTTGTTTTTATGGTTAGGATACTGAAGATTTATGTTTACAGTACTATAAATTCTTTCCCTTCTATTTTCTTATTTGGCTAGCTAGTTAATTAAACTTCAGCATAATTACATAATTCACCGTGCTCATTCTATAAAATAATTTAGCACCTTATTTTTCAGAGCTGTCAGAAACCAGAAGCAAAGAAAAAGTAATAAGATGAAAATGGAGACCACTAAAGGACAATCCATGAATCATACATCTGTTACACGAAAAAAGAAGAAGAGGGAAAGAGCCCATCAATATCTCTGCAGTTAAATGTCCAGTGACTTGAGAATAAGGAAGATTTATAGTCCAATCTTGGATGGCATTTTCTGCAAGTGCCACCCTGGACTTAAATTCAGTCGCTTTCAGAGGCAGTGCCCCTTCCTAGGCTCAAAAACAGGCAGGTGGCATTTGGTGGTTTATAGTCCCCTCCTCTGCCTCTCTGAAGACTGGGCGTTTTCTTCATTGGCTGGTTTACCAGTTCTTTCTTCAGGCTCTTTATCTTTCTCCATAAATCTTTCCCAGTCTTACTATCTTGGCCTCTTTTGTCTCAAAAATGGGCATAGATAGTGCTTTTGTTTGCAATGTCAGAAGAAAATGAAAATGGCAACCTATGAAGTTTGTTCCCATTGAACACAAAAATATGTTAATTTAGACATGAAGACATTTTGTTAAATACTAAGCAATGGTTTAAACCCTTCTTGGGAAGACTACAATCTACAATTCTTAGATTGAATCTAAAGGCAATGGAAAGAATTTTTACAAAGGCACTCTAAAGATATATAAATTATAATTATATTATTATTAAATATTTATTTTTGCAGTACTTATTGCCATTGCCCTCTTGCTTGTATAGAATCCTTAAATGTCGGATGGATGAGACATAGCAAGTTAGGACTTGCTCCGTGGCTGCGCTGTCTTCCAATCCATGATGTAATTTTGTCTGTGTAAATGAGTTGGTGACACAAGGCAGGATAGTGACTGAACTCTTTCTGTCCTGCCGAACAAGTCCTGGCTGTGTGGCCTTGGCCAAGTTATTCCTTGTCTAGAAGCCCTGTTTCTTCACAGTTGTGATGAGGGAGTGTCATAGCCACACTCAGGTCTGTTTGGGATTGATCTAAATGAGACACACTGCCTGGCTCTCAGCTCTGCTGTGTCCTGGTGAGTCCTGTTGGCAGGGAAGACTGCAGCCCAGGCCTTCTGGCTGGGGAGCACAGCACTGAAGGGAGTGGTTTGAATTCCAGGACAAGGCCTTTACCTCCCCATTTCTCTGCCAGGTAGCTGACATTGTCTCCTTAGGACTGAACAGTTTTGAATGACTTAAAATTGCATAATGACTTTCTCTTATTCCCAAACAACTGCTGTAGAGCCAGTTTGGAGGCATCTTTCTGCTTGGGGCAAACTGGAGCTTTGTGAGTGCTGCACCCCATCTGGTGTTTAAATTTCAGGTGAGCTGAGCTGTTTGATAATGTGATCCGGAACACGTGGGCCAGATAATAAGGGGAATCTTATATTTTAGGCAACATCAAAAGATGAATTAAGCTCTGAGGCTTGTAATAAAAATCAGAAAATGACACAGTACTCAAGGATGGCCCAGATCAGCAGGGCAGTGGTGACATCAAAGGCAAAATAAACTCTGAGACTTAAACCTCAGAAAATGGTTCTTTTACCACTGTTTTTGTTTCCTTGTTTTGGTGGTTGGGATGGACCTAGGACCGTGCACATGTTAGACAAAGGCTCTGCCATGGGCCCGCACCCCAGCTCCATCGTATGCCCTGTGTCCCATGGGTTGCTGTGATGACTGGAGAGGCGGGCCTGGAGGTGCTTGGGGGGAAGGCAACTTCATAAGATCACCATGAGTTCTCCTCTCTGATCCAAGCCTGGAGTCTGTTGGCCAAACCACCCCGGACCCAATCGAGTGCCAATCATGTCTGATTCAAGCCTGGAGAGAGACATTGCCCAACTTACAGTGTTCACCATATCATAGCAAAATCTGTTGAATTCTTTAAAACTCAGATACCTGATGGACCATGACTACTGAAGAATTGAGTCTTCGTAGCCACTGTTTTGGTTTTTTTTTCTTTGCACAGGACTAGGAATTGAATCTAGGGCCTTGGCACTGAGCTACATCCCTATTCATTCATTCGTTCATTCATCAGTTTCGAGACAGGTTCTTGCATTACCAAGTTTCCTATTCTGAGCCCATACTTTCGATCCTTCTGTTTCAGCCTCCCACAGTGCTGAGATTATAGGCATGTACCAGCACACCCTGCTCCAGTGGTTATTTTCATCTGTACATTCTTTGATTTTAAAATAACATCAATTGTAAAATACACCATTGAATCTGGACATGGGCATCTATAGTCCCAGCTACTTGGGAGGCTGAGGCAGGAAGATCCTTTTGTAGGGAAAGGGGGTCAGTAGGCAGGGAAAGAATAAAATAAGGGCCTCGTTAAACTTTATTAAAAAATGAATAGGAAATCTTACTAAAAGCAGCTTTGCCTCTGTAGTTAGACTCCAGTGATTAGAAAGACAAAGGTACTGCCTTACAAGTGCAAGGTCCTGACTTCAATCCCCGGTACCAAAAAAAAGACTAAGGTAAAGAGAGAAATCAGACCTGGAAAGATGTCAGGTAATGAAATTAACATAAGAATTTATCAGGAAGAGTCAACAGACAATGCAGGGATGAAGCCAGAAACAGCAAAGACCATGGTAACCAGCCCCCTTACCCATCTGCAATGAACGCAAAGGAGACAAGGGGTGGCCACCCAGAAACTTGTTTAGTATATGAAGAGACACACATCTACACAGTTATACATACACTGTAGCCTCACTTGGGTCACTCTGTCACTGCACTAGGTGACTAAGCCGCTTTTCTGTAAGCCCACACACCCATTTATCTATCACAAACAGGCAGGAGGGAGTCAAATGGCCAGAAATGTAGGTAAAGGTGCCCAAGTCAAGACAGCCAGAGAGCCAGGCAGACTGACAGTCCAGGGGCCCCGCAGGGGGCAGGAGTCACTCAAAACCCACAGGTATTTGCCTCTCCAGTGCCTCCTACTCTTCAGAGTAGCTGTTTATCCCACCCCACCCCTGCAAATCTTGTTCTTTTATTTTAAACTCCACTTCTTTTAATTCATTACTGGTGCTGAGTTTCCAATCACAGTTAGCTGTAGGTTCCAGCAGGGCAGCAGTTCCTGTTCCTCCCGGGCACAGTAAAAAGAGAGAGAGAATGTACCATTGATTTCATCATAGCTGTCCAGGGAGGCAGAAGAAATACTATTTCACTAATTGTGCAAAATTTTTACATTTTCTGATTCTAGGAATACCGGAATGCAGAAAAAGCACATCTTAGAATTGAGGAAATAGTCAGAAGTGGTGTACCTTAAAACCGTATTACCTTCCTGGAAAATTAGAAATAGTTTGGTGATTGTGTCCTACATGTGAATTGCTGGGGTTACAGGTGTACATCACCATACCTGGCCCCTCCTTGCTTATATCAGAAAATCTACTGAGATACAGAGTATTTTGTAGGGCCCAGTGATCATATTTCAGGATTGTTTTTCTTCATTCGTCCCATACTTACTTGTATCTCCAGTACAGTAAGTCCCCAACATACGAATGAATTCTGTTCTGGGAGAATTATTTGTAAGTCGGACTTGTTTGTAGGCTGACAAACTGAGTCTTAGACATTACACCTGTGAAAGTTCACAGCTCGAAGGTTCGTAAGTCAGGGACTTACTGTATCCACCACCCCCACTTTGTGGTGCTAGGGATTAAATCCAGGGCCTTCACCCTGAGGTATATTCCCAGCCCTTTTTTATTTTTAGACAGCCTTGCTGAGTTGCCCAGGCTGGGTTCAAACTTGTGATCTGCCTACCTCAGCCTCCCAGAGTGCTGGGATTTTGGTCGTGCCCCATTCTTTTCATCTGCACCTCCTCTTTGGAATATGTCCCTCCCTCTTGACATTTTGAAATCTTATGGGGTCTTCAGGCCATGGCCCAGGTCCTGTTCCTTTCTGAGAAGCATTCCGTGAGTCCAGATACTACACCATGTTCCTCGGCACATCTGAGGCACTGAAGTTCACATAGTATTTTGTGATTATATTTACAGATTTTGTTCCTCTGAAAGATTTAAGATTCTCAGTGTCAGTACCATTTTATCCATTCTTATATCTTGTGCCTTGCAGGCGCTCCATAAAAGTCTGAGTTTTCTAGAAGCAGATGATAGGTATGCCTGAGATATAGAGTACACTTGCTCTTGTCTGCTCCTTCTAAAGACTGAAGAAAGGAAAACGGATTTACACGGTATTGGGAGAGGCCTGCCCTACATGGAGCCTCTGAGTGTGGAGTTGTGCCCGTAGAAGACTGGGAGCCTTACCTGCAAGTCTTCAAACTTAGAAAATTCAGCTTGTGTAGTAACTGTAAGAGAAACTTTTGAGCTGGGCATGGTGGCGCACACCTATAATCCCAGCACTCTGGGAGGCTGAGGCAGGAGGATCCAGGTTCAAGCCCAGCCTGGGCAATGTGTTGACTTAGCAAGAAAGACCTTGTCTCACAATTTAAAAAAAAAATTTCAAGAAGAGAGGTTGGGGGGATTTAGCTTAGTGGTTCCGCTGCCTGCCTTGCAAGCGGAAGGACCCAAGTTCGATCCCTGGTACCAAAAAAAAAGAAGGGCCAGGAATGTATTCTAGCGTAAAGTCCCTGGGTTCAATGCCCAGTAAAAGAAAAAAGAAAAAAAAAAAAAGAGAAATTGAGAGAAAGAAAAACCTTTGCATTGATATCTAGCCCCGTCAAAGCAATCTATAAAATACTTGCCATCTGGAAGAAGTTTGACTAATTCTAATTTTGAAATATAAAACCACAGTTTAACAAGAGCCCTAGTTTGCTGCCACCTCCGCAATGTCCTTGTCCTTGTTTTCAAGGGAGACCTCTCTGGCTGGTGAGATAAAAGTATATGTATATTTTTATTTATATTTCTTTCTAGGTACTTAAACCCTCCCCAGTACTGTATTAGAAGGGTGTCATGAACTTGTTCAGCCCTGTACAGATTAGAAGCTTGTTGCTGGCTGCAGCCTATGGCCATCATTGATTCTACTCACTGGGGCTCCCAAAACTGCTGATGCCATAGTGATACCAGAGCGCCACCTGTACCACGTGACCTCAGTTAACAGGAAGCAGGAGGCTGTGCTAACAGGTTTTTCCAGGAGTGGGTGGTCATGAATAGAACCCTATTAAATGGGAAGGCCATTTAATAGACCCCTTTGTGCCTCAAAAGCTTTAATGTGTTACCTAAGAAGCTAACAGAAGTGCCTAGGTAAGGAAAGTTTCCCAAAATGCAAAGGAAAATCCAATTTCACTTATTTGATTGTGGTTTTAATTGGAACATTAGGATGTGGGTTAAATTACTTGAGGGTCAGCTAAGAAGATCATTGCAATCTAGTGAAGATGAGATCTCTACTGTTTGATTTCAGGCATTTTAGGATAAATGTTAACTCAGCACAATTGAGGAAAATAGCACCAAAAGTGAGCTGGAAGATCTCAGGGCTCTGAGAAGTGATTTTTATCATTAGCTGGACAGTCCCAGGATTCTCCAAAATTTGAGTTGCTTGATATGCTGCAGAGAAAGAACAGTAGATGAACCCTAAGAAAGGAAGCCCAAGGGAATGGGCCAATTTCCTCTTCTGCAAGGGGAGTCCTGCAATGAGCTAAAACAAAAGGAAGTCAGCCGAGATCTTCTACTTGCTTAACAGTGACAGAAGGAACCTAGGTTACTGCCTGTTAACCTCCTAGTTAATATGGGACCCCGGTAAATCAAAGGAAATTAAAAATATCTCTAATCCTACAACCCAGAGATAACTATTAATATGACTTCCCTATTCCTCCAGAGATGGTTCCTGCATAAATAGGTGTACAGTTTTGTGAAAATTTCCCCCTCAAAAATGGAATTGGAAATACTGTTTTGTGACCCACACTTTTTAATAAATACGTTGTAAACATCATATATACCAATCTTTTCTAATTTTCTTACGATAAATACATATTTGCTTCATATCAATAATTAACATGTCATTACAATAATAGGCTGTTGGTATGTTTAAAACATTAATACATATGTTTCCTAAACACATGAATACTGGTTCTGTATCTCTTATTAGAACTTCTTCAAACATGAGTTAGTCTCTGAATTCATTCATTCATTCATTTATTCATTCATTCACTTACTTAGTGGGAACTGAACCCAGGGCTTTGCACATGCTAGGCAAATGCTCTAACACTGACCTACACCCCCAGCTCATTTTATAAATTTTCTTTTGAGACTAGGTTTTGCTAATTTGTCTAGGCCGGCCTGGAATTTACAATCCTGTTGCCTCAGCTTCCTGAGTAGCTGAGATTTCAGGGTTGTGCCACTGTACCCAACTCTATCTATACTGTGTGGTGGACTAGGCCCAGGGCCTCATGCACTCTAAGCAAGTGCTCTACCACTGAGCCATATCCCCAGAGCCCGGTCTCTGAATTTCTTTCCCAGAACAGCAATTGAAGTGGTTGTGGGAGAAAGACAAAAATAGCAAATCCATATAATTTAGCCTTATTCTGCCAAGATAGGACATTTCCCATCTTGTAAAATGGGCTCATACTTGAAGCTATCCCCTTTAGTATTTGTGATTGT